CTTTACACTTTTACCATAGGGTCCAATAACAGTCCAAATATCATTTTTCAAATCTAATTCCCGTTTATTACCAACAACCTTTGTAGTTTAGTAGATAAATATAATTGTTAATCTTTTTGTTAATTTAAATATAAGAAAAAATAAATACCATATATTGCTTATTTTCGGGACCCAAGTCATATTTAACTCCATTAGTAGACAAATATTTATCAGTAGATACATGAACAAGGGCAACCTTCGAGCCATATACAATTACTTTGTTCTGAAATTTAAAAAAGATTTCAGATTGAGCGGCCATAAAAGTTCATGATCTGAAATTCTAAAATATCTTACAAAGAAATCTTCCTTCACTTCTTGGGCACATAAACGCCAGTTGAAATAGCGAACATTGCTATTTATAAAATGAAAATTAAGAATTTTATAACCTAGTTTAATAATATTGCTAGATTAAGTCATACCTAATTACACCATTAAACCCTTTGTCGAAAGCACATCCGATATACAATGGGCCAATATTAAAGGCTACACTTTGCGTTTTAACGTTCTGCATACTAAAAAATCCAACCCATTCACTGTCTATGTAAATATCTAACCGTTTTTCAGAGTCAGAAAGAGTATAAGTTAGATGATACCATTTGTCTAACAAAAGTCCGTCACCAAGCTCATCTATTCCTGCATTATTAGTCCAGTTGCCTGTGAAGCGTGCATGTAATGCGGATTTGTTCGCCGTCAGCCATAACCCAGGTGTACGGAAATACCATTTTGTTCCTAAATGTGTATTTTATTGAGACCAAGAAAACAAGAATCTAAGAAAATCAGTTAGTCTTACCTTTATGACAAATAGTAGCCCAATCAGACGTATGACTCTTAAGTTTTAGTCTTAATGTCACAGAAAGTTCATCTTTCACCAAAGGCAATTTATCATGTTCAAAGACTCTTTGAGTATTTTCATTAAAGGCAATAGGGTCTGAAATGAGCTCTGCCCATTCTTTCTTCATTTTAAAGAAACAAATAATTAATTAAATAATAGTATGTTTTGTTTCAATAAGTTAAATTAATGCAATAGGAAAGTAAAAAAAAAAAAAAAAAAAAAAAATTGCTTGCCTTGCTTATAAAATCACCTCAAACGGTAAGATCAACACAAAAAATATCTCTTTTTATCTAAATTTGGGGGTGGCTAAGGCCGGGTTCGATCTCGTGACTCGCAAAATATATGTCACGGAATTTTTTCGGTATGTGATTTCTTATTTGTCACAGATTATTTGTCACCGGGACTATCACCTTAATGCTGGCCAAAATATCGTGATCGAACCCGGCTTTAGCTACCCTCACTTGCATTCGAAAGCTTTTGCTCTTCCTTCGTTCAATCGCTCTGAACCCTATTTGATGACTTATAAAAATCATGATGGCAAAACATTTGATTAGCTTTGTAGAAGAATTATCGGCTTATAAAAGATGAATAAAAAATAAACAAAAACAATAAAAATTGAAAACAGTTTATATGGAATTAAAAT